AACAAGCAGATTATGATTAAGAAAATATAAAATGTTGGCAGGGCTTCTGTGATGGAATAAATCAATGAAACCAACCATAAACTTACGCAAAGAATGTAGAGAATTTAAAGACTTTTAATTAAAATTGTTATATGATGCACTCTAACTTATTTGTCTATATTCTACTTCTCATGTATTTCCTGACAATGTTGTAGTACAGTGAAAGCTTGGATTTTTAAMATTCATTCAATCACAGCAACCCTGGCTACATTTGTATATATTCTCTTTGAATTAAACCTTTGTGGTTTAGACAAGCAATGTTTTGTGGATTTTTCTATGTAGTAATTTGCCTGATGAACAAAATTGGATAGTCCTTATTGATTATATATAATACGCATCTACTTTTATACAAAATTGCTCTGTAAAAAAATCGATACAAAAATATGCTGATTTTAACCTATGTGGTTAAAATCCTTTTTTCAAAAAATAGATGAATACAACTTATTTTAAAAAGCATRATAAAGTTTATATGGCCCCTTGTGGCCCAAATGAATGTCGATTTTAATCTATGTGATTAAAATCTTTACAAACTTTAAATGTAACTATGGTTTATAAAATGCATAGTACTTGAAAAATCCTGGCAACAATGAGTCGAGCTGGTCACTCGATGAAACCCTCTGAATGGCAGAGAATAAGCCATTCAGGTAATACCTGAGGTCTGTAAAATACCTCAGGGGGGACCAGGGAACCAATAAATCTATGCATTTATAAATGGTGAACTTCAAATTGATATTTCATGTTTGTTAGTACTCTACTCGACTCGACTCGACTCGACTCGACTCGTCTCGACTCTACTCTACTCGATAATATAGTCGGAGCTCCGCTATTAGGTGTTACCTAATTTGTATATTCGGTCTTTTCTTCACATCTGATACAAACGGACCTGGTAGAAAGGTCAAATTGCAGTTGCTAAATACCGGCATAGGTGACAACTTATCGCAGGATAGTTTGAGTTTTTAAAGCAGAAGTAATGTTTTACGTTTTCTTTATGGAAGTCCAGTCCAGGGAGTAGACTATAAGATACAAAATAGTTTCAAGAGCCAAATGTCGAAGAATCGCAAAAAGCAAGGAAAAGTTAGATTTCTCACCTAAGTTGTATGTAATGCAAGTATCGAGAATCGGCACTACATCGAATATTTCGTAGCGTAGATTTTCAGTGGAAGCGTTGTAGATCTTCGTTACGCGATTTTGGCCCAAATTCTTTGTCTTCTAGATGCAATGCTATTAGGGCAATGCCGGCATATTTTTGAAGGATGTGTGCGAGCAGTTTTTACCGGGGTATTTTTGAGATTGCTTATATTTGACATCTGTATGCAAACACTATTCTGTCACGTCGATGTAAACACTAGGCTCAGTCTCCAGTCTCCGGCTGGGAGCATGGGGTTCGAAACGTGCTGCGCGTGTCCGTGACGTTTTTGTGTAATTAGCATATTATGACGTAACGGAAGGGAATTTTTCAGTAAACGGAAGTGAAATATCTGACAACAGCCGTAAAGGTTTTGCTACAAGGCGGGAAATTATGTGAAATGAAAACTTCGCGAAGTAGCGATATAATGTAATAGTTAGCGCTTTAAAAAAGAGAAAGGAATGGAAATTACCCCAAGTAAATCATGTGTAGGGTTTAATAATCCAAATGGATGTATTATCTGCCAGAAAAACGAGCAAAATACACTAGTGGCGCTGTTTGAAAATTAAGAGATTTGCCCGAGCTAGTAGGAAGAATAACAAGGACATCTTTTCCAAGAACAATCTCTTTAAGATCCTTTTGCTGTATTTCTCTAAATTCGTCCAAGCTAAACGACTTCAGAGCCTTCAAACAAGCACTTTCATAGAGAATCTCAAACGACGAATTGTACGCCATTTTGTTACACTGCTGCCTGCTAATTAATTAATGATATGCCCCTGAAAATATCGGGGGACACTCGCTGATTGGTCAAGACTGACAATACCGAACCCCATGCGCACAGCAGGGGAGATAGTATCGCGGGCGCACGAAATCCCGACGGCTTGAGACTGATCCTATGTAAACACACGTTCATGATCGACAAAGCATACTCTGTACTACCCCAAAAGTAGTTTTGAATGTTTTAATCTCCCCTCCCTACGTTCAAAATTCTCAGCGTGGTACTGTTATTTGATTGGTTTCTATTTAATTGGATTAGTTAAGCATGGAAGTGAGATTCCAACCGACTCCTACCAGAGGTTTGATTTTCGCTCGGCCTTACGGCCTCGATTACAAAAACAATAGCGAAGAGAGAAAATATCAAACCTCTGGGACCAGGGAAATTCATATGGTAATTATATTTCAAACTTTTAGTTCTCCCAGAGAGTGCTATCAAAAGAGTGGATTAGTTTTGTCATCTTCAATCGATTTCATTGTAATGGCTGCGATATAATTGGTCTAAATT